CCCGGCGCAGGCCTGGGCACCGTGGGCTGCTTTGGGATGGCCCAGGGAGAGGCCCTCGCAGTCCGACAAGGGCCAGCGGAGACAGGGCTCAACGTTTTTAAAAATCCCACTAACTCGATTTCAGTTCCATTCCCATTCTTCTTCCTTCTATAAGTTCATCTGGAGCCACATTTAGGGGGAAAATAAGTTCTCCAAAGCTCAGTAGCAGCTCCCCATTTGATATTTTCATCTTTATGGACAGAAATTCCATCTGGGACTCTTGTCTCCTCCTATTAAATGCTACAGAACTGCAAGCAGAAAAGATCATTCTCATATTAAATACACAGTTTCCAAGAGCAGAGGCAGAACAGCAGAAGTTGTAATTTTTCCAGTCACAGGTGAATCTGCAACATTCACTAAAATTACACTTTTTAAAACACTTTTTTTATATTTACATTTCAGATCTTAAGTTACACATTCTAACTTTGCTTCACACTTTTGCTATATCTGCAAGCTTCCCTTCATAAACCCAACCTCTTCCTGCCATACAGGAGCTTGGCCACTGCTGAGCAATAATTACACTAAGCCTTGGCGATGAAAGGCTGGCTGCTTTGAGTGTCACATCATGCTGGAAAATGTTGCCCCACACTAAAAATGGGAACAGACTGCTAAGGCATTTAAATGCTAGTGAAGGAAACTCCTCTGAGAGCTCAGGAAGCCAAACAACCTATCATTAGATTCAAACAGCCTCTTTCTTTGGTATGAATTAAGCAAAAGGATGAGCCGTCAAAATACAATAAAAATAATTTAAAAATACAATTATGCAACATGTCTACTCAGTGGAGGGGAAGCCTCAACTTACAGAATTTCATTCTATGAGGGATGTTTATAGTAACAGCTCTCCCATGCATGTAAGTATACAAATGATGAAAGTTAAGATTTCAATGACAAATTAATGTTGGTAGAAGGAAAAAAAGATTCTATTACGTCAGTGAACAAGCTGAATGCTTTGTTGTATTTCTGGTACAGGATTGGAAAAAGACCTGTAAATTGTTATTTAAAAAACAAACAAAATGTCAAATAATTATATCATCCAACTGCAACTGACTAAATTCTAAAATACAGAGAGAGCATGAAAACAAAGCAGGCAGCTGCTAAACAAAAAGAGAAGGGGGTCAAATACTTGGATTATTTTTTTGTTGCCCTGTGCTGCTTTGTTGATAGACTGCAGAAACTCTTGTGGTTCCTTTAAGGCTTAGAGTTTTTCCAGAGGCTCCACAAATCTCCTGGACTCACCAGTTCATGCCAGCTACCTCCCTTCCTCTTAAACCCCTCCTTCCCATCTTTATCTGTGGATTCCAGAGAAATACCTATATATATACACAAAAATACAGAGCTTTTGAGAGCTGGAAAAAGTTTAAAACACTACACATATTTACAAGCTTTGACTTCCACACCATAAAAACACACATTTATTATATCCTTGATTTTTGGTGCAACTTATACAGACAATACATCAGTTAATTTGTAACTTTATTTAAATAGTCAACCGTATGTACATTAAAATTTACAACTGAAAAATAATCAGTTGGTATGGTATGACTGCAGTTTGCTGGACCAGAAGAGATTTAAATCTAGGACATTGATCCTCCTCCCATATATGTAGACTGGAAGCAGAGAAGTAAACTTCATCTTAAATGGCATCACTTACTTTTAGAACCTCTGCAATTAAGGTGCGAAAAAAAAATATGGCTCTGCAGTCCAGAAGTAAACACTAATGAGGGCAAAAGAAAATAGGAAAGAAAAACCCAACTTTGGTTAAAAAAACAAGCTAGCACATAATAAAATGCATCTGACACGATGCTCATCTGCTCATTGAAGTCGCTAGGGAAAAAACCATGGTCCCACGAGCCTTCACTGCAGTTACTCACATGCCACGTCACTGGTGTAAGTTCAAGGGCCACGATCTTCAAGAAGTATGGCAGGAGTGAATGGCTCAAGATGCTTTAGATGGTTCTAAAGGGTCTCTTGGGACAGGGGCAATTCCTGTATCCCAAGACACAAAGACATTAAGCTAGTCTTCAGGGAAAAAAAAAATATATATAGATATATAATCTTTGACATCTTCTCAATGCTACGGGATTCAGAATCACACCTTATTTTTTGGAAATTTTGAAGGCTACCCTGGTCCAGAAAACCAGACAGTCGTGTGACTGGAAAGGCACACACGAGTCAATTATAGCCACATTGCAAGGCCTACTGTATGTCAACCTGGAAACAATTTTGTGAACAGATATCAGGCTTTTTAAAAACAGCAAAACTGGAGGCTGCTCAAGTTACATAAAGGACCAACTGCAGCAAGCATCTTTACCAGCAGGATGTGATTGAAGGGAAAAAAACCCAATAGCTTACACAAAACATACTAAAGTGGCAATATAAACTAGCTGACACAGGCTTCACTGTACATTTGAATTGATACAATTGTCTGGTGCTTCCATGGCCAGTAAGTGTTGAGTGCCATAGGTCTGGTTAGTTAGAATGTTACAAGAGAGACTGATCAGGTCACGAACCCATTAAAGTGCTTTCAAATCCAGTTCCTAAAGGTTTGTGTTTTCTCGGTTTCCCTACCGAGCTGTCATGTGACATTGACTTCCAGGACGTGGTCATCCTTGCTGGGAACCACGAGTATCTGCATGCCCGTGCTGCAGTTGAAGACCTGCCCGGAGGAGAAGGCCTGTAGCCGGGGCATGGGCAGGCCCTTGTGCTCGCCGCTGGCCGCTGAGTGCAAGCTGCTCCGGCTCCTCAGGCTGCTGCTCTCCGCTTGCTCGTCCACGTTCTTGTCCACAGATAAGTTATCATTCTCAATCCAGCTATCTGCTCAAAGCAAAAACCCACAAAGTCATTCTTCGAAGCGATTAAGTGACTTGGAACTATTCCAGAGCCCAGACACCCAGCCAGCTTAGTGTACGGTCACAGCTACTCATCGTTTCAGGTGAATCAACACTTTGTGGCTGCAGTAATTTTAAGCTCTTGATCTAATATGATTTACGTGTTATGAGCTTCCAGCAGCTACTTAATCCGTCCAACAAGTGGGAACTACTTTTCCCCTAAGTTAATGAAGACATAGTAGATGCAAAATTTATAAACAATGAAACCTCAGCATTACTGAGAGTTTCAACTGAATTTTCATTAGGCTATGAAATCAGTGATAATTGCACAATAATCTTTCAAGGATATATAAAAAAGAATTAGTTTATTATTCCCTCTCACAGAGTAAGGCTACAATTCAATATTCCTGTTAGAGCAGCTTTTTAGAAATGTAAAATCAGTACTGTGAAACAAAGCTAAGTAACAATAACACCTAGAAGTACTAAGCTAACCCACTTCCTCCCCTTGCTTTCCTCTATACAGGACATGGAAGCAGCATTAATCATGTCTATAAGTAGTCATGTAGTCAAGAAAGCTTTACCAGCATCAGGTTGCATGGAGTGAGCAGAATGATGAGGGAGGTATTTAAATAATCTGACATCAGGAAAGGGTAGGTGTCCAGCAAAGAGTGGCATCACTTCCATGTGGACCTTGTGAGTTGCTCGAGCTGCTACAGGCATAGAGATCACTCCAGAACTTTTCCCACAAACCGCCCAGTTACTGCTGTTGTCCACAACTGCAAGAACAGACAGAAAATATTGTAAGAATCTTTTTTTTCCTAAAACAAGGGCTCTCAGTATCGTTTTAGAACATTCTAAAATCACTATCTTCACACTGTATCGAAACTACACAAACTTTTGTGAGCAACAGCTGGTCAAAGGAAGAAACCAGCCCTACCCAAAAGGGATTAATATATTTCAGCCTCAAGAAGTTATCTGCCCAGCCCAAACAGTATTTGTATTTCACTTTAGGAGAGATTAGCGAGGAAAATAATATACATATGATCAGGCTAGTGAAATGCACTTTGTATACACGATACAAAGACAACGGTCCTGGAAGGTTTGGCTGAATTTGTTATAGAGACAAAAACCAGGAGAATCTTGTCAACATGTTGACAAAGAACATCAAGAAAAACATGCCTACCTTCATACATCAGTTTTGTTGTACAATATCCATCTGACTCTGTTAATGCTTCATCTTTATCAACTTCTAAGAGGTCCGCAAGCCGTGTGATGGACACCTCTAAAGAGCAGAGCGAGCCTGTTTTACAATACTCTGCCCCCAACGGGGGAAAAATTTCAGTTTTCACATTATACAATGTCTGTCAGGAAGAAAACAGTGCTGTTATCAAGAAAAAAGGAGTGTTTTATTTGTGTTTCAAGAAAAATGGACAATTGATACAGTACGAGAGAAGTTTAACATCCACATCCTATTACATCTTTCTAGCACAATGGTCAGTTAAAAGTAACGTTCACTTCATTACGCTGCTCAGTTTGAGCAAATAAGAAAAATAGAACTGATAAATTTATTCTAATACCAGAAAGTAAATGCACGATTTCCTCCCTCCATTTCTGCTCTTCCACTCGCCAGCCTTTCAGTGCTTCTAAACGGCTGCCAATGCTCCTCGCTTGCCATTCACATGGCTCACACTTCAGGTAATACAGAGCAAAATTGCTTCCCTCCGACCATCATAGTCCCCAGAATGAAGGTGTTTGCACTATCAATAACCTTTTCAATTACCACAAAATAAAATTTCTACAAATATCAACACATTTAATTCCCCTAAAAATATCCAGAAAGATACTGATAAAACACTAACAACTACTACTTGTGTTTGATTATTCAAGCAAAACTGTATAATTTTGTTCAATACCAATTTGCAGTAAGTATCAAGAAAAAGACAAAAGGAGGTATGACGGATAATGTTGGTGTTTTTTAAATCAATCATCAAAAAGAACACCACAAAGACTTCAGATTAAACAAAGTTAAGATAATCCTTTTAATAGGAGGTTTTATCTAGCCAATAAGCTTCCTAGAAGATCAAAGGAACAAAGAGTTATTCATAAAGGAAAAGAAGAAGCGTTTGAGATAATGGGCTAAAAAACCCTAAATATTTTATTAGAAGAACTCATCTCAAGCACTACTAAAAAATTCAAATGCTATCAACAGCAAAGGTTTTGGGAAATAGCTGCTTGCTTGGCAGATGGCTGTTTTCAGCCAGTGGGGCACAAAGCAACTCAGTCACCCAGGCAGAGCACAAACTTACAGAGGGTAAAAAATACAGAAGAACCAATCACCAACACGCAAAAAAACCCCCACAACAAGATCAAGGAAACCATTTTTTTTCCTTTCTCTCTCTCAATTCCACTTCACCTCCACGTTCAACAAACTACCTTTCAAACAATCCTATGATCAGCATCAACCTCATTACAGAAACATTAATTTTAACATAGTTTTGACATCTCCCTTTCACATTTGTTAGCTGAATGAGGTTTCCTAATATTCAGGCATACTACAGAATACTTACAAAAAAATTTTCCACTTGGAATTCGTAAGTGAATGGCTTCAGGGAAAGGGACTGTTCTTCAGAGGTAGCTGGACAAAAGCTGACTGAAAACAGGCACTGCAAGGACAGGGGAAGCTCTTTTGTCCACTTCAACTCCCACACAAAGAATATTGATTGCTTACTGTATATGACCTGAAAGATAATATTTGATCATAGTATCAGCTCTTTCCTTCCTCTGAAGAAAGAAATACAAAAATATATGTTCACATGTCTATGTCTGCTCTGGCATTGCTATAGTTTATGAATCAAAACATATCTTTTCAGTATAAGACAAATGATCAGTGAAAATACGCAATGAAATCTTTCAGTGAAGCACAAAAACAGTTTCTTAAAGTTTAAGTCTGGTCTAAATGTGATATAAAGTGAAATGTATTCTTCCAAAATGCCAGTTGGAATATGGCATGATGCAAAAGGCAAAGAAAGAGTTTGCAAAGTTATTTAATCACCTGTGCAAATTTCAGACTTGGATCAGAATCTGTAAGTGTTCCCAAATGCATCCCAAATGCATCCCAAAGCTTCTTTAAGAATAAAACTTACTCTCACAAATGACTGTAAAAATCTGACAAAGTATCAGTTATTAGCTGTACTTACTGCAAATCGTACATGCAGAGGTGCTTGACTAACAAGAAGTTGCATGCCTGGCTCTCTCCCAGTGAGCTCATATACCACCAAGAGAGTCTTTACCTGTTGAGAATCCGGGTTCAGAGGTACCAGCTGCAAATCCGTACAGTCAACAGAATTTGTTAGGCTGTTTTCTGAAAGCTGGAAACAGAGTTCTGATAAATTCTGTACACAGACTTGCACATATTTCCTGAAAAACAAGAGAGACTGTTTGTTGAACTACGTAGCAAATTTGAGCAATTATGCCTAAAAGGGTATGTGTCCATAGCCTTCTTTCCAAAGTGCACAATTTAAGCAAAAACAGGATGGCAGATCACTTTCCAATAACTATATTTAGGAGCGTGCACAAATAAGGCTGTGCAATATCCCCGCACATACTAAATAAAATAACTACTCAGAAATAGCTTAGCCTGGTTTTCCTTGTGGTCTTATCTCCAAAAGGGCTGAAACCACATGTTTGCTTTACCACTAGGAAAGCGCACCAGAGGAAGTAAACAATCTTCCAGTGGGAAGCCTTTTGTTGCAAGGCAACAAACCGCCATCCTAAAAAAGACAAGCTGACTGGAAATACTACTAATGATCTTCCTCTCAGAGGCTGCAAGAGGAAGGGAGCAGTAAATACTTCATGAGTACATTACCGTTTGCCAGCTGACAGTAAGGAATGCTTGGCGTTAAAAGGTATGCAGAATGTTAATGCAATAATAGTGGAGTAAATCGACCACGGACAATCAATGGTTACCTACAGGGAATAAATAAATAAATACATAAATATAGAATAAAAAGGACATAGTCAGTTTTGCTTTCTCCTCACTTTAAAGCCACAGATTCCTCAGTAAGTGCCTAGATCTAACGCGTGTGAGAAGCAAGCAGGGGTCAACCAAGTCTGACAAAATGGAGCTCTCTCCTTTTCTTCTCAACTTAAGTTAAACCTAGATGAAACTTTTCAGTGGAAACAGATGGTGTCTAGTTCTGAAGACTACAGGTGTTGAAATTGGACAGGAAGGGGAATATAAGAAAGAAAAGACAGAAGACAGTGGGAAAACCAGCAGCATCTTAATACTAAAAAAAGATAAAACATCGGTGTAAATTCCTATTAAGATCCTCTCACACCATATTTCTAAACTATATTACATATACATAAAACAATATTAAACTTGCATTAAATATATTTGTTTCAGCTTTAACAGCTTGCTTAAGTACAGAACTCCAACTTAACGGGACAGCTCACTGCTTCCAAGTCTGCACACCATTTTTATATGCAGAAAAAATGGCATCTTTTAAAATGTTTTAATTCTAGTAAGCAATGCCAGCCTATAGCTACACATATTCTCCCCGTTCCTCACATACAAGGATAGACAGGAGTGCTTTTCAATCCATTTTAGCAACGCATAACCCTGTAAAAGGTGATTAATCCAAGTCGCTTTCGTTGTTAACTCAATAGCATCTCTGCACTCCTCCTTCTATTCATTCTCCATAGCAAGAATTATGAGGAAAACTGACCCCCAGCTACCGAATACGGCAGCTTGAATCTCTGTGCTGTGCAGATGCTCTGCAAGTGGAAGAAACATCCTTCCCACAGGTCAGAAGGGGGGATCTAATTCACAGCACTTTTAAAGACATCATTCCAGCTTTCAAAAAGACAGGAGTATCCGTCATGCCAATGAACTGTGAGCCCTACGATGCCAAAACTCTTACTAGGGCTAACTAATTGACCAGTACAGCACATATTTTTGCTCACGTATTCCTTGCCTTTATTATTATCATTTCTGCGTGCATAAACTTTAAGAGAAAAATCACTTTTACACAACAACCAGCCTCCCCATCACAACTGCGTGCATGTCTTTGTGAATAAATCAATCTCGGTGCCAAGTGTCACCTTACTTTCTGGTCAACAGTAGCCATGTGGCTGTCTGCTTTTTGCTTCTCTTTGCTCTTCCCGTAAGCTTCCTTATTTACAGTATTTTCTCCCTCCACTGCAGGTTCTGGAGTTGATGGCAAATACATGACTTGTAGTTCAAACTCAATCACGTGATATGCAGGAGTCACTGGCAAACTGATGCTCGTGATCTTCTCAGAAGACTGAATCTTTAATGTTGATTCCGAGATCTTTTCTAGAATTGTGTAGAATGGGAAAGAAAATGGTTTAAACCTTTTCATTCTTCCCTAATTTTCATTTTAATCTGTAGTTAGGTGAAATATAGTGTGAAGAGCTAAAAGTATTAGAAAACAGGTTGGAACAAAACCACCTGCTGGCAAGACCTCCACAGTGGCAAAATCAGCAACCGGAGCCACGTTACGTAACTCCATATTAATCTCCTCAAATGAGCTGTAATCTTCACATTTTCAATACCACTGCTGTTCACACTTTCTCACCAGCAGTGATCAATCCACCCCAAAGACGGCAGGAAGCCAGCACATTCAGTGTAGCAGCCCCTTCCAATATTCAAGAAAGCTCCAAAGAAAACAATACAATACCAAGCTTCAAAGTAGAAGGTACTTTAATCTATCACCTGACACACACTGCAGTTTTTACATCATCCTATAGCTTCTTAGTCTCCCAACTCCTTTCCACTTCAAATAAACTTACCACACATCAGTATTTTTGATCAGTAATCATATATATTTGAAATACTACATATGTGACAACCTTGTGTAGGCTATTTTTATTAACCTCAAATTTAAGTCTATTAACATTCCTTTTCATTTAGCAGTTCATTTTACTGCTTTATTAGGGATAATGTTTAAGACCTTTCTTGCACTTAGGTGCTAACTTGCAAGTCCCTAAACAGCTTCACTTAATTAGGGCTACTGAAAGAGACAGTATCAGTGTTTGCCATGCTAATGGCTACAAATTTACATTGGGGTCACTGAATTTTTGCATTGCTCAGGTATCAGTTTGGGCTCCATCACTCACCTCTCGTGTTGGAATAGATGACTGCCTTGCTCTCCGGGTGGTACAGAATAGGCATGGCATCCGCGTTACTGAGCTGCAAAGTATCTCCACTCTTCATGGTGTAATGGCCAGTGATCACCGTGAATTTCACCTTCTGGGGAATGCCAGCCAAAAGGCTATCTGAAAGAAAAAAGTAAAAATGATCATCTAGTCCGAGAGTCCCCGTGAGATGCTTAAAATATGCTGCTAGTGCTTGCTGGCAAGCATTTACAAGCAAACTTTCCCAGGCAATTTCTCATTGCATGATGGTAACTTAAAAGGAGGTTATGGACACGTTAGGCCATCCAAGGGTGAATTCCAGTCACTTGACTTGCAAGGACCTGGATCTGCCCGCTGAGAGAGCTGAGCTGGGCTTAGCCTAGCCGGCTCACACACTGTGCAGGGCACAGTACGTTCCGTGCTGTTCCGGCAGCACAGCGCTCCGCGACAGGAGCCAAGGTATTGCCAAGCTTTTTCAGTCCTGCAGGCTGAGGAGAGCTTTGTGCTGCCGCCCCTACGATGCCAGTCACACCCCCAGGCTGTACTTGCGCGACTACCATTATTTGCATGCCAATATGCCCACGGATTCTCAACCATCTGAATCATGGCCACCAATATGCATACGGATCCTCGATCACGACTACCAGTTTCACACGAGTTGCTAGTTGGATTGATTCCCCTCTTCCCTGTCCTTCCTTTGCTATACCTTGCAGTGAGTGGATCAGGAATGGTTCCATACAATGCACCTAAATGCACCATAAAATGCAGCTCAACTACCTAAAATTACAACTTGAAACATATTACCTTCAATTGATATGCATTAACAAAGGTCGCAACACAGTGCTCCATTGTCTACAAATGCACAGATGCACTCAGTATCACATTAAAAATTTTAGATTATCACCTCATTTCTGATGACTTTTCTTTTAAGCACCAAAGACATTGCAGTGTCACAAAAGTAGCCAAAGTTCAGTCAGTTATGAGTTCAAATATTCACTTCTCCTAATATTTGCAGGAAACCAATTCATACCCGATATTGAAGCAATCTTCAAATCTGAGCTAAACTTTGAAATTACTTGCTGAATATCACTGACATATAAGAAAAATAAGAGCTTATTTTAAATTTCTAGCTCAATATTAACAGCAAGACAAAGCAATTCTGAGTAAAATTCAAGGTGAAAAACACCTCACCTACTCCTGTGAGGAAAGGAAGATCACCAGCACCACCGCAGTGCCACAACTGCACCTACCGGTCATCGGTTCCACCTTGAGCTGGGGCTCCTGAGAATACACATCGTACTGGGCAATGGGGTAGATGTGAAGGAGGACAAACTGCACTTTTCCCAGGGAAGTGCACAGTTGCCTGAGCGTGTACGTCCCAGGTTCTTTGGCCTGGCGAGAAAACATTTGAAAGGAGTTTTCAATTTAGCAAGCACTTTTAGAACAAACCTCCTAGTGAGAGGCACACAAGTTCCACAGTTCATTTCTGTCAGATACTTTGCTTTAATTAAGCAAGCCGCCAATCATTCTGGGAGTAAGTGACAAGGTTTTCCACCAAGGATCATCCTCTCCCCTAATTTTACATAGGAGCTCTAGAGTGTCGACTGATTCAGAATAAGCGTCATGTTAACTCACACATCGGAGTAACCAACACATTAATTGCCCTGACAAATTGCTGTTCCTTACGTGGTTGCTTTCCCCCTTTAGATGCCACACACATTAAAATACAATTTCATTTATTAGCTACCAAAAAGATATTTAGCAAGCAGCAGCAAAGTACTTACTTGGCTGATATTCATAAACTAGCTACCACATTTGTGTAAAGCACAGCCTTCAGCTCATAAGCCCATCCATTTCATACACTTCTCCTCCGGTTCTAATGCAAATGATTTCCAAAAGTACTACACATTTTACTTCTCTTACTCTGAATAATGGTATTTTAGATGTTTTTAATTAGCAGTATTATAAAACACTGCAGCATTGTGTGCAAGTATATTTATTCTTATTTCTATTTGTTCTTAGCGATTACTGGTAGAGAATGGGCTGTGTTTCTTTTTTTTTTTTTTTTTTAAACTTGAACTGCCTTATAAAATATTGGTCTGGGCAGAAATAAATCCAAAGAATAGAATTAAATAATCAGGAGAATAGCTGGAATGCATAAGGTTCAAACTTCACTTACACACAGTTATTTATCTAATAAAGTGCGACAGAGCTGGGCCTGTTCAGCCTGGAGAAGAGAAGGCTGAGGGGGGACCTGATCAGTGCCTATAAATACCTCAAGGGAGGCAGTGAGGAGGAGGGGGCGGCCTCTTTTCAGTGGTGGCCAGCGATAGGACTAGAGGAAATGGCCACAAACTGAAGCACCAAAAGTTCCCCAGGAATTCAAGAAAAAAATTCTTAACAGTGAGGGTGCCAGAGCCCTGGCACAGGCTGCACTGAGAGGCTGTGGAGTCTCCTTCTCTGGAGATCTTCCAAATGCGTTTGGATGCAGTCCTGTGCCACGCGCTCTAGGTGACCCTGCGTGTGCAGGGGGTTGGACTAGATGACCTCTGAGGTCCCTTCCAACCTTAAGCATTCTGTGATTCTATGATTTATAAGAAAGCACAACTGAAATTCAGCCTTATTTTGAAATTATAGCCAGCAAGTCTCAGTCCTTGAATGCCTTCTAAATGGAGATGCACCAGTGAAGTCTTTCATACATGCATTGTCTCAATGTCAACACATGATACATTAAGATACTATCCTGAAGAGCTTAAATAATACTTCATCATCATTGTAGAGCTTGAACACACACACACAAAATGAAAGATTAGATTTGAAAGGTCACTATCAGTTAGCAGAAGTTAATCAGCAGCCTAAGATCTACAGAAAGAACCAATTTTCCTCCCTATCTTCAGAGCGTGGTTATTCCTGAGGAGCCAGCAATTAAGCACTATTCTAGCAAAACTAAGGGGAAGAAAAGACCCCTCTATTCTTTGGGCAGCCATGTAAGCTAGAAGCTATACAAGAATGTTCACTTGAGATTTTTATTTTACAAAAAAACCTACATCTGCAGTCACCAGACCTCTTACATCTCCAAATCTGACTAAACCCTCCAAAAGAATGAGAAGCCTGATAAATAAATCAATAAATAAAAATGAGGCCAGCAGATAGAAAGGGTGAAGTGACATTACTGCCAGCTGATACTGTGCCAAGCGGGGCTCAAACTGAGCCTCCTCCCCAAGACACCTGCAATGGGAAGAGGCTCCAAAATGCACTTCTTACAGGGCAGGCCTCCTCTCCAGTGCTTTCTGCCCTGCTGCTGGAGAACAGAAAGGCAGATCACCTCAACCTGCAGCAATTCACCCAGCTTCAGGCTACAAGTTCTATGGGCAGATAGAAATGAACAATTTAAAAAAAAAAAAAAAGATAAAATCTCTGGAGGGGAACACCTAAAGCTAAGAAGGCTGAAAGAAACCTCCTGGCCAGCACTGTTAAGCTCTCAATTCTTGGTCATCAAAAACAGACACATAGATTCTAATTTCTAAATTAAATTTCATAAAAGGGAGCTCATCTTATTTTAAAGCAATTAGAAAATGCTACAGCTAGCAGTCATATTATAACATACACAACAAAATATGTATCTTGAGTGGTACAAAATGTTGCATATATATAATCTGTTTCATTTGTGGCAGTCAGTAGTCAAGAAGGAATTTTAAAGTAAGTTTTGGAAAACTGCAACAAGCTTTGGAAACGACTGCACCACTGCAGGGGAAATTAAGAGCTAGAGCGAAGAGGAAGCCACAGCAGGAAGAACATCAACAGCGTTGCAAGGTAGAGCAATACAGATAATGCTCATCAGCACTATGCTCTTCTTCAGCAAGTGCTTTCAGCTCTTCTCTTTCACGAGCACTGCTCTGACTTGATTATGAAAACATACCTGAGTTTCAAAAGTTATTTTGTTGATCCCTGGTTCCAGGATTAAGTCACTGCATTTCAACATGTGAGCCCCATCTTCTAGCGTCACCCCTGAGGGCATATCCAGAGAAGTGCTGCTCTCCTGCCTTCGCAGTAGCATGTGCACGTTTTTGCAGATGATTCCTGTCGTGTTCAAAGAGTTATCCGAGGGACTTCGTTCATACATCTCATAGAGCTCCAGCGCTGGCAAGTTGTTCCTCGACCAAGGAAAGCTGGCAGCCTCGCTTGGAAAGCTGATAACCCCGTTGGAAGTTTTGTGCTTCGTGAGCCACTCGGCCGTTTTCCTGTAGCTGTTTTTCTCAATGCTGAAGTGAACGTAGATGGCAATCTGATCCACTGGCACCGGGATGGGCATCTGGCTCTGCAACGTCACCTCAATAGACAGCTTGCCACCCACGTGGACAACAGCATTGGGAGGGTCAAAATGTAGAGTTTTTAACTGTGCAAAGGAGTGCATAGACAGGATAATCTTTTCGCCTGGAAAGACAGAAAAAGATTTTATTCTTCTCCTTTGCCGCTAAACGTTAGCAATTTTATTTTCTTAAAAAAGAAGTTTCTAAGATTAACTCCTGAAATTAAATCAGATCAACAACTTCCAAAGTTTTTTCACAGTATATTTTTACATCAAGTCAATGCTTCGCTATTTTAAGTTTTACATTGCATAGAAGCATGAGAAATTTAAGATGCTAAGAGCTTAATCTCACAATTCAAGTCACCTACCAGAATTTTTTATTAATACTTAGGCTATTAAAAGGAGTAACTGAAGAGACAGAGCTATGCACAAATTTTTAACATTTCACTGTTAAAGCATTGTGCCACAAGGGGACAAACTTTCCACATAAACTAAGAGCAAATACAAGTGTACAAAACTAAGGAACTAACAAAAATGACAAACTGGTACCAGAAGCCATCGTCAATACAAATTTGAATTAAAGCCAATAATTTTGAGGACAAAAGGACAAAATATTGCTGAAGCAGAAGGAAGAAAGAAGGGAAAAGGAGAGTTCTCCAAATAACAGGCTGCAGGTAGAGATTTAACATCAGAAGAAATAGTTACGATCGCAGGGCTGTCAAAGCAGTACAGGAACAAAGTTTAGTTAGGAACTGAAAAGAGCAGAAGATAAATTGAGCCACCTAAGCAGAGAAACAGGTAAAGGAAGGAGGACAAAGGCTCTGGGGTAATCAGAATGGAACTGTTAATTACCCTTTTATCTTCCGTTTATATCAAATAAATATTCACAAATATTTCAAACATTTTATGAATGTTCTGCAGATGACAGGAAAATAACCACATTGGTTCATTGGTGGTACATTAAACAGTGAATGCAATCAGGAGAAAGAGAAAAAAACCTTTTGATCTACTTGCAGACTACAGCAACTTAAACGTCACGTATTAAGAGTGGGACTCACCTTGACTCTCTGTTTGTTGATTGGCAAAATCTAGAATTTCTTGGCAGAAGCGTTTGCGTTCATCTTCTGTTAGATGACTATCGCTGGCTAAAAGGCTGCTCGTTTGAAGATAACTAATGAAGTTAAGTAAATATGAGGTAGAAATACACATTTCAGAAATTTGACTGAAAATGAGACAGTTCAAGCACTGATGTTCTTATCGTGACATAAGACCTGCTTTTATCTTTCACAGAAGTTTCCATTAGGAAAGAAACAATAAAAGATTTGCTATCACTTGAGAATACCGTGGTATCCTCAACTTCCCAGCAGACCTTCTAAAATAAATCTTTGTAACACAAGCTGTCTTCTACATCAAAAGATACCAAGCACTGAAAATTAATTATTTGTCAATAAATACATGCAGCATATAAGTAAAAGACCCATCAGATAATACAAAATTTAAAATTAAGTAACTTCAGTATTTGATTCCATTCTAATTTACTGGTGTGTCCATTTAGCTGCTGCAGTACTATTTGCCATAGCCAAGTCTGAAGGCATTCTCTATGCTCTTGAGAGCTGGGAATACAAACACTTTTAAAATATTTAGTTGAGACTACAGAGCTACTGGATCGGCATTTTTCAAAAAATAAATACTGAAGCAGAAAAAAAATAAGCATTTAGTTTTTTTGTGTAAAAATTTTTACAAGAGCAAGACATAAAAAAAGTTTAAGTCTAATGTTTAAAAACTAAACAACCAAAAAACACTCCAAACACTTAATGATTTTCAGTTATGGTAAGATCTCTAGTACTGTCCCTTACAAGAGACTAAAATGTGAGTTTACAGACAAGAAAAAACTATACTTTTTCTAGCCAGAAGGACCACTAAAAAAGCTGAAGCCTTCCTCTCAATCTTCACAAGAATTGTCCTGCAGAAAGCATTCTTTGTTAAACTGACCATCCCAGGTTGAAATGCCATGGGGGATTTCATTTAAAGCCATAGCATCAAGATAAACAGCAATCTGAAAAAAAAAAGGAAAAAAAAAATAGACACCAGAAAAAAACCTTTAAAATTAAAAACAAAAAATCAGAAATTGGTAATAATAATAATAATAATAATAATAATAATAATAATTTTTAAAAAATCTCCCACACAAGATTTTCATCTTCCAAGACTGTACTTTAACTTTTGGAAAACACTGCTATTATGAATGCCAGAAGAATCCTTGCCAGGTCAGATGCAGGAAAAAGGCAGGAGCAGTTATAAAAAGAAAGTTTAGAAATGAAGCTCCTTGATATAGGCAAAAAATGAAAGATTTACCAAAAGGTAAAGAAACATCACTACGCTAAATGCAGATGGAAACAAGCAAAAACTTATTTCCTCAGCTCATGAGGAACTTCACACTATCCACTTTGCACCTGCTCTCTCTAGAGCTCTGTGTTGTTAAACCTGAAGAGCACCTATCACCTGTAAGGGGGTTGAAGTAAACAATGTGCTTAAACAAAACTCAAGTAAACAACATGCTTAAAAAAAAAAAAAAGCCAAAAAAAGACCCCCCAAAAAACTAAAAAGCCCAAACTTGAAGCAACTACAAAAAACATCTTTCCAAATGAGCAGCCGCAACAAAAACTAATAATAACTAGCTGTGTTATATTTGGCACTACGATAAAAATATTTGTCAGGAAAGTATCAGAAATATGATTTTTCTCTAGTTTTGATGTCCCAGCTCTGTCTTTTAAAGGATACTTGTCTATTTGCCCCAGCTGTTTCTGGCATTCTGCTAATTGCTTTCGCGTGTGCGTGACGAGTAGCGCCCAGCCCTCAGCAAGGTAGGTTTTCAGTGCTCCTTGAAGATAGACCTCTGCCTTCTGTGGACTTTTCTTCCTCCTTTAAAAAGGAAAGAAATAAGAGCAGAGAGTATGAAGGAACTGTTGCAACCAGGAAAACCTTCATTTATTTTTTTCTTTTAAAAATAAAGGTAGAAGAAAATCCAGTGAACCGTTAGGCTACTCATTTTGCTGGTAACAGGTCAACACTTTGGCCAATTTTACTACGCTTGGTATAAATACACCATGTGAGTGAAAGATTTCATATAGAGATCTACCATAAACTAAAACAACCGAGGTGAATCTACCTCACACAAATATATTTTCAGGATACAACAGTATCACTACAGCAGTATTATTAATTTTTACAGTAGGTGAACTGTACAATTTTACAATCATAACCTCAAAAAGGAATCTGAGTAGCCTCAAAAATGATACACGCGTATTAAGAACCATCCATATATGTGCATGGATAAAATCTCTGATATGCTATAAAAGTCAGAAGCCACATAAGAATAGCACCTTATCATAAATGCAAAGTTATCCCTCCCACTCTCTCCCCTCATTGCCCTTTTCTTCTCAGGAGAAGAAAACAAGAAACTGCAAAACATAACATACTTAAATAGCACTAAATTATGAGATGCTATTTATGGTTTGATATAAAAGATTTCTGATATTCTGGTTTTCTGGTGTTAAACAGGCTGAAACTTAGGATACACTTTTGCAATAATACTGTTAAAAATTCCTTGCAAAATACGGTTTATTTTCCTCACAATTTACAGTCAAACTTTTGAAAACGAATACATTTAAAACATTCAAAAGATTTTATTTACATATAAAACTCTGCCAAGTCCTTTCCAACAAGCTTAGCCGAGCGAATTCTTCCAATATTTGTGTACATTTCAATAGTGGCATGGGACAGATCCTGTTAATGACAAAAGAAATGTGTAAGCTAGTTATATAATTTCAGTAGTTATACAATACAGTATTTCACACAGAAAGCCCAAACCAGGAACCAAGTTATTGCAATCAAATGACCAGAACGAGTCACTTCCTTCCCCATCCCACCACATCAACTTTTTATATCTAGTTGGTCATCATCTAACACCTATATTGTAAGTACTAAAAGAAACTGCTAAAAGTGTCATGAGGCAACTCAAACCAACAGGAATAGATTAGATATGGTTTCAAATAATGACTTATACTTGAATTTTCCTATTTCTTATCCCACTACTCCACTGTTACAGGAGAGTGCAGTGCCTCACTTCAGGATACACTAAGATATCCTATCTAGCATATTGCCAGCACATTGTTAGAGTTTGTCCTAGAGAGTCATTATTAAAGCTTAAAAAAAAAAAAAATCAACTATATACAGAACATGCTACATGATTCTTTCTCTAAGGCTAACGTGTAATATTATTCTCAAATATATATTTCTTTAGAGACATATACCGAGCAGTATTATTATGCAATTTGAAGTTTCACTTCTGTCTTTAAGCTTAATTTCGCATGCAGCCGCTACCTACATGCCATCTTCCTTAACTTGCCCTCTGCTTATAATGGGAGCTATGCATCTTTTTCCAAGTTAGCAGTTGCAGATGCCAGTCACATATACCTTAATAGCCACATACCTCTAAGATCAAGGCACGAGCCTGGTGTGTACACCTCAGTATGTTCTGTAAAACTGTCAAATCATCTACAATACCGGACACCTAAAGAAGGCAAAGCCTTCCCGGTAAAATAAAAGCTTGAAAGTTCTTGCTTTCAACATTTGTAAAGAGCAGACTCAAAATTTTGAATGCAAATAGATAGTTGCATCTGGAAATCTCTTTAGATCCATATTTTCCTTCACCAAATACACCGATAAACTGTGTACTATTTTTGTTGCAACTAGGTAGGAAACAGTCTTTGACAGAGTAGCTGATCTTTACCTATCTGAATTTCTGCTGCATAAGAGTGCAGTCAGAAGCATTAACAGAAATAGCAATTCCACTACTAGCCAGCCCTGCAGACCTCACTTAACTTTTGCAAGACATTGCTGAACTTGGATATCTGCAGGTGCAAGTTTGAAGGGAACATATAAGAACAGATGGCAATTCCAAAATTCTTAGTTTTAGTCTACCCACTCATGCAGTTTCACTGAGGAAAAAAAAGTATAAAAATGAGATCTGATATTCTCAGTCCAAATCTTTTCATCTTCTTTTCTCTTCATAATTTTCAATATGAAGACCAACTAATTTTCACATTTAAAAGTTTGCTCAATTTTTCTCCATGTTTTCACCAAGAAACTTAAGACCAGTAGAGCAATTACCAGAAGTTTCAGACAAAAAAGTCAAATCACACATGTATGTATTTAAAAACAAACAAAAAAATTATGATAGTTAGATAAAAAAAAAAAAAAAAAAAAAAGCATCACATCTTTTACAAAAACAACCAGATCATTACAATGACTCCACAGTAATGGAACCGTCAGGAAGTAACACACACTAACATGCAACTTCCAGAAGTACATGGCAGCTCCAATCCCAATATCCACTCACATCCCACACTTCACAGAAATTCAGCAGGAGAACCCTTTAACACTCATTGCAAAACAAAGGTATAAAACCCCTTTGAAAGGATGCTCGTTTAACACTTCAATATACGTCTGGGGATAATGTCAATAAAGAATGGATTTCGGATAACAAAGCGTGGTTGCTAAAGCACAGTCTTCTTTAACAACTGCATATACATCCGTAGCGATAGTAACCTCCAGCCCTGCTATAGTAAATATTAAAATAAAAGCAAAAACGTCAAACGTGAGACTCAATATAGTGGTCCAGTCAGACAACAAGTTAAACTTGGTGCATTCAGACATGAAACAAGCAATAATTTTGATATCAAAATACAGATTTATACTTTTAACAAGCTTTTCAGCTTTGGAAAATCTGGCCCTAAGGAAACTACTAAGTAAATATCCCCGAACTATACTTACCAAGTAGTGTTTTTCAAAAGCTTCTACAGATGATAAGGCCTCTTTAAGTTTCTTATAAGGGCTCTGTGAGGCGTTGGCTTTAGACAAAAGGAGAACAACGGGTGTCACAAATTCATTTCTATTTTACACAGACATTAAACAGTGCATTTCAATGGAACATGGTTAGCAGACGAGATTTTTTTTTCCTGAAGAAATCTGCTCAATTTAAAAACTTTAGCATTCCAAATTTGTACCTGTATTTCCAAAAGAAAATAAGCCTACACTTTAAACAAATATCCATAAAGAATTTTAAACCTGAATTGAAATTCATCAGGTATCAGTCTTCCTTCTATAGCAGGTTAAATGTCAGCAAGACACTAATTGCCCTACCTTATTGAACAACTGCAAGTTTCTTCCCTTCAGAAATAGCTTTGTGAGTGACACAAAAGCCCAGAAGCAGTAAATAAACTAGACTGTTCAGCCACTCACGTAATATCACTTTGCAGATAGATAACCTGCAGCTGCAACTGCATGAGAACAAGGATCCTCCAAATAATTTCCAAATAGTTTCAGTAGTGTCCTTACTGCTCATGTGAAAGTATTAGAACTAAAAAACAGGACTACTTACACTGCTGTAAAAAACACATACTTGCAGTATTGGAGCCACACTCATAGCTACAAGTACAGCACACACATTCTCTCTTAGGAGTTTTAGGGATTTTGGTTTCATTGATTGATTGCTTCTCAAGTTTCCAAGTACCCCTACATCCACAGAACTATCATCCCCACCAAAGTATTTATATGTCAGGCACTTAAGACAATGTCAGTTGTTACACAGACAACATACATTCTTGGTAGTACCTGTTTCAGGGCGTTCTGCTCCCAACCCTGCTAACAGATCAACAGTTCTGTTAAGATCTTCTGAGTTGGGTCCCTTCTCTGATGCAAGTCCACACAAATAGCCCAGAGATCTTAGCTAAAACAGAAAACAGATGCTTGTTTTTGATGCTATGAGGCTATGAAATAAATATCAAATTCCCTATTTCTGTCGTACCATTCCTACTATATAAGATGTTTCCATGGGAAATGTCAAACTGCATTACTTATATAAATTAGTATTAAAAGTTTTTTCTTTGGAGGAGGGTGAAGAATCTTTCAAAAGTTACTGTGATGCTCACTCAAAAAGGATAGATTAACATTAAGGATTAAATTGCATACAACCTAAGTTATTGATGCATATACATACACATATATATATATACACATATATATATATACACATAGATATATATACACACATACACGCCCCCCTTCATGCACAATACAAAACAGAGTAAAACCTTGTGTTTGTCTATATAAATAACACATCAAGAAAGCTTGAGATATTTGGTAGTTACTACCACAGAAATACCTAGAAACTGCATCTGTATTTCAGTACACAAAACCATATAATCAGGATATGTAAATAGATTCTAATACACCTGAAAAGCTTGCAAATTCACCTGGAGGACTGTATTCCAAACAAAAACCTCCCTGAGGAAGCAGATGATCAGCACAGCTAACAGTCCAGCTGTCTAAGACACACAGCTACCATTAACTCTTTCTGCACCACAGCTGGTGTGCTCTATACCCAGAAGTGCAGATATTCCCTGCCTGGCTGCAGAGCAGTTCTGTCGGTCACGGGGTAACTCATTCGGCGTAATTCAGTTATGATGGCAAAACTTTTCTCTCTAAATGAAAAGTTCTCAGTTTGCCATACTACCCTGTATCACCTAAAATGCATGTGGCCATGAGCTTTTTAAATTCCACTTAATTGTCACTATTTTATATATTTCTTTCATTTACTCTGTTCCAGTCAGCCCCCTACCCATTATTCTTGTATTTTTTCCCTGTTACCCTTTGCTTCTCCCCTCCAGAGCTCTTCTAACACATTCCCAACCTAAGTGCAGAGCTTCTTTAGAAATACACAAGCAGCATGTGAAGAATCTAATGCATCCATCAATGCTTTAAACATTTGCTTGCTTCCTCTATTCTGATCTCTGGGGAGTCCCTCCTTCTCCTATTTTTTAAAAGGATGGCTATTTCTATTCTTTTGTAATATTTAAGGAATTCCAGTGCTCTGTAGAATATTCCAAAGTTTACTGAAATTTAAACAAATTATGATTAAAATATTTAGAAATATTCTACAGGACATACAAACAAGAGCATGAGCTTATACTAGATTTCTTCAAACAAATTCACCAGGACCAGAGTACACTATTGCAGTAGTTTCTGGAGCTTCTTGACATCTATTTTTCGACAGCTGAAAGTAATAGCAGCTTTAGGCACTAAATATCTTATGGAGACAGAATAAAACTTGAAAGTGCGTTTACATAATTTGGGAAGGGGCTTAAACTGAAAACAGCACTTTACAGATTTCAGTAAGGAGTTTTTCATAGGTTATACTAAGGGACAGTAAGTAGTGTGGGGGGGAAATGTCATTACTTATTTGCTGCTTACACAAGTGAGCAAGGCAAACATTTTCAGTTAAGTTGGATGCCTACTACTGCCATAATAATATACTTAAAAAATAATGAACTACGTATTTCTTTCTATCCATCACTTCTCTGAATTGCTGAGCAAGCTCCAGTAATTCCCAGGCTTCATCCTCCTGTGGAGGAACACAATGTAAGTCTGCATGTCTCACCTAGAACAGAGTGAAGATAATACACTAACACATGTATTAAAGTTTCATTAAAAAGTACAAAATCTGTTCCACAGAAACAAGTGGCATTTCAAAATTACTACGGTACAATTGCAATGCACCATTTGCTCACCTTCTCAGTGGCATAGCTCCATAAACCGACCGTGTGGGAAACATTTGCATCTATTTGAGCCCGATCGCAGCAGCCTTCTATTCTCTGTAAGACTTCCAGGCAGCTCAGGAATACCCAGCAATCCAATGCTCCAGGAGGAACAGAGACCTGAAGATCAACAGATAACATTCACTGGGAAGTAAACACTGGTCACCTCAGCAAAATACTCCTTTTGATACAACATAACAGAGCCTCTTTGACCAATTTAGTCTGAGATTACGCAAAAATAAGCTAACCATTCCCTCCCTAAATAAATATATATGAATTAGTACATAAAGCAAGGCTGGCTAAGCAGTTAAGCAGAAATCTTACTAAGGAGATTCGATACACTCAGCAGGAGGAACGTGAAGGAAGAGTGAACTAATAGATACAAACCAAGGAAGTTTTCAAAAATAGTCCTACAGAAAGCAAAGTAGGAAAAAGAAACCTACAGGTACAATGCTTTCATAAGGATACATCTGACCTAAAACAAAAATCTAAAATATGCTATGAAGCAGATAACAAGAATGAAATAAAGACCAAGAAGGGATTATCAGATGGACCATAGTGGGAAAAGGGAGGAGAGTAACACAAGAATACTGTAAGAAACACGAAAGATCAGCATAACCCAAAATCTGGAATACCATTGAAATAATGATGTCAAATTTTGTTCATAGACAACATAAAAAAAGGTTGGGGAGGGGAAAGAGTGTGGAAGTCCCGAAGTTCATAAACACACATGTACATAAATATATTTATACCAACTATTATTAGGGGAACGTCAAGTCCATTTGAGAATACGTGGAGGTGCCACTTAAAAAGGCAACATTTTTGAAGTAGGTTTTCTGTCTTTAAAGGCAGCACATTAATGTATAATACAATAAAACCATATAAATAATAGAATGCATCGCACTGACTCACTTCCAATAGCTTGAGTTCTTGCACGCAGTTGTGAAGGAGCTCCAGCGCTCGCTGGGAAACCTCCCAGGGCTTCTGCAGGAAGATCAGTAACGTGCACTGGCGAGAGAAGAGGTAACTACGCAAGTCCAGCAGGGTAGCTTCTTGGTTCTGGATGAGCTCTCGCTTCTCCATGTCTATTGGCTTGCGGAGAATTAATCCATTCCAGCTCCTCACTGGCTGGCAAAAGAAAGTCAGCCAATTTGCACCATCTAAGTAAACAAAGTTAACATCCAAGAATCAATTACTGCGTTAAATCAAAGCCTCTCTTCTCTCTCCCCAGAGGGAGGAAGCTGGATTGTTCTTTCTTAAAGTCACTTTTTTATATAAACTAAGCAATAAGCTTAGTGACTTGACAAAACACCATGAACACACAGCAAAACACCCCCCCAAATAAACATCACTGAAGGCAACCATAACTAAGAGCAAACCTGAATTTCAGCACACTCGAATCTCAGGTACACTTCGTCTTAACTGCACATTTGCTATTAGTGGGTACCACTTTACAAAATATTTCTCAGAAATTATGTCTACGTGAAGCCCAAAACAAGCAATCTTTATCTCCTTCAGAGTTTCTTGCTCAGCATTCGTTGACATATAAGCCCTCACTTTCAGGCATGAGCTCAGGCTCAGTCAGGACAAATACATTTCATAGCAATTATTCCAGCACGGGAATTTTAGCATAGTCATAACCAGTATCTTGCTCAAACATAATATAACAATATATTATATAACATACTCTAGTTGAATAAAATATAGTTTCTAATTACTAGAATAAATTCTAATACTTCGAGCACAGTAATTTTTCCAGAAGTTACATAAAATCTTCCATAGTGCGGATAAGCACATATTTGGTAATCACCAGGAAAATGAATGAAACTTCTCATGTAAATTAAAGAACACCCAGATACATTTACTCAAGACAGCTTTTATTTAGTGACTTAGCAGTGAGCTGTAAGAACTTACTAAATCTATGTTTAGACAACTACAGGTTCAGGCTTCCATTTGTAACAACTGGTAAATAAGAAAAAAGTGCAAGTTTTCACTAAAAGTTACTTTTAAGCCTCAGAAACCAAAAATGAAAACTTCAGGTGAAACACTGCCGTACACAAGAGCCTGAGGTAGCACAAGCTCCCAGGATGCTTCACCCCAAAATCATTCGTGGTACCCAAAGAACTAGGTTGTGTTAGTAGTGCAGTGTAGGAACTCATACAGCTAACACCTATTCACCAGTTTAGGACACTTACCACCAGCCCCAAAGTTGACAACATACTGAGAAAACAAGGCATCCAGTTCATCATACTGCACTAACGCATCCTCAAATTGCTGCAGCATCTCAAACACAAAGGCCAGCTCTTCCTTTGGACAAACAATACGAACAGCATGTTAGATTTGTCATATTTTGTAGTAAAATTTGTCTCCATCCATATGAAGACCCAGGAAGGGCTTTTTCCACCACCACCCTCTGCCAGTGCCCACACATAGCGTAATTTGCCATTGTAACTCAGGCATCATTTCTCTCTAACCCAAAAAAGTTCACAAAGGAAGTCATATACCTAAACCCAATACAGTCATATCCACAGTCATATATCTAACTCCAATAATTCCTGCTGCTATCCAGACCCTGAATCACTACAAGATATTGTTGATAAATGTGTTGAATGCCAGAATTTAAAACAGATGCCAAAGTCTGATCTTCCACACTAGAGATAACCTGTTCTTTCTGCTTACACGGTGAAGGCAGCAGTTACAATATTAACAAAGGTCCAGGTAGGCACAAAGAAGGGAGTCAACGTTGCTGGTGGAAAAAGTTTGAGGGATATGGACAGTTACATGCAAGAGGCAGTGCATGAAGTCAACAGACAAGATAAAAAGGAACTACTGAGGAGAGATAAGCACAAGACTAATCCAAGTGAACCAAAATTATCAGTTCTGTTACTCAAAAACATCTTGCTTTTCTGTACATCAGTTAAACCACAAAACTTAGAAGCATCAAAATCTAGAATGCGAGGGCATGTTCTACACACAATTACCTACCGATATGAACCTAGGCAAAGCAAGCACTGTAATACTCACGTTACATGGGAATTACAAGTTTGTGTACCTTGCACAATCACGTGAGTAGAACATTTGAAACATCTGAAACATTTATCCAATGTTCAAGAGCAACAACTAAAACGCTTTACAGACGCTCTGTTTGCTTCCCTCTACATTCCTAACACTTTGACAAGTCTGAAAAGATTCTGCACTGAATTACAATGCAACACAAAGCTTCTGCGAGGAAGATCTGAGAAAGGCTGCTTTCATATTTTTTTCACTCCCTCTTTTCAAAGCATAAAAAGTATATTTAAAAAAAAAACACACACAAAAACAGACAACAAAAGAATTCAACCCAGGACTCGAGCGCTTTGTTCTTCAAAGAAATTTGTACCTGGACCATGAAATACTCGCAAAAGCTCCATCCTGGGTCTGTCCTTTTCTCTCTCAAAGTTCTCATGTCATCTTCAAACTTGCCCAAGTTTTTGGTAAAAGACATGAGAAGCAATGTCCTGAGTTTGGTCAGGAAGGCATTCCAAGATTCCTGAGAACGGGAAGAGTCTTTCAAAGGGTCAGAAAGTACCACACACCTGTGAAGAGAGGAGGGGGGAGTATAGGGCATAAAATTCACACATAAATACACATCTAAATACTGTGCATGCCTGACTATTCAGAGTGGACGAAAATGGGATTTTCAAGTAGCACTAACAGATAATCCCTCTGCTCTCCCCCTCACTCCCAAGATGAGAGACTTTTCTTCTCCATAAACCGTATCACAGCCTTAACATACTCCGATAAAAAAAAGCTTTAAGTGTTTCCTACCAAGTGGATATTACAAATGTTTACTTTTGAAAAGCAAATAATGGCTACATTATTTCAACTATTTAAACACAAGGAAGAGCTGCGGCTATGCAAGGCAAAAAAAAGAAATCTGCTTAGAAATGCAATTAGCAGAACAGTAACTATAGTTACTCCTTGCAAGGCTTATGGTAAATGGAAAACAAGATCCATTAGACCACATATAGGCAAACTTTCATGTCATTTAAAATTATTTTCCGCAGTATATTCTTGCAAGATGCCACCTTATTTTATACATCCTATATGCTAAGGCTCCCAGTGCTTTTCTGAAATAGGGATTTAACAAACCACATCAACTCAGAAATAAAAGTCTTGGAATATTTTTCTTCTGTTTTTTTACACCCTTCCTCCCTACTCTCCCCTTCCCACCTCCCCCCAACACACATACAAAAAGAGAGAATGAAAGAGTGTCTCTAAAGACGGGAAAACCCCTCATCCAGGAAGAGCTCCATTTCTAGTTAGAAAAATCATCTTATCCTATCGCAAAGTGCTCAAAAGGAGACAACCAGTCAGAAATCAAAGCAAACTGAACGAGCGTTGTTCAAACTATTTACCAGAACAAAGAGAGTGCTGCCAGTGTACAGCATGTTCTAGCACAACGACTTGCCAGTCACTGTCAGCTTACAGAAAGGTACAAGTCCTTTCATCGGCCCTTTTAAATTCAAATGCTTATCCCATCATTCATTTTCATGGGGAAATCTTGCATTTTAAAGATAATTTTTGAGATAAAAAAGGAAGGCACACACATAATACGGAACACATTCTGGATAATTTTTTGGAAAAATGAAAAAATATGTTTTAGAGCTTGTTTCAGATTAAGATTTGTTTATTCTATTGGCTTCTAATAAAAGCAGGAATGATTTCATACTGAATCACAGAATGATTAAGGTCAGAAGGGAACTTTGGAGACCATCTAAGCCCAACCCCTTTGCACAAGCAGGGTCATCTAGAGCACGTTGCACAGGATCACATACCTTCACTATCATTTCCCTTAGAATAAAAATATCTGAAGACAATGGATTTGAGACAATTACTTTATAGCGCAAAACTGATTAAATAAGATATAGAGAGCACAGTGCCAAAAAAAAATCCTAGTTGACTTAATATTCCTCTCCCACCTCATTCCAACTACCTGTAACATTGCTCATGTTTTCACAAGCACCTAAACACACATGCAAACACACACCCCTGTTCTAAAACTAGATTGTTGCTATGTGCTTTGCCTTAACTCTGTCTCTAGCCAGGAAAAGGTTTCAGTGTTCTTGAAAGGTTTTTGAAACAGATTCAAAGCAATTGCTACTTCAAGAGCAACCGAAAGTAAAAAAAATGCCCTTTATTGCTTGTGCCTATCTTTTCCAAAGCACAGGCTTAATGGTACCATCACTTTGGATGCCAGAAGGAGAGGTCCTTAAGTGACCTAGGAACCCATTATATGGGGAACTGAACTTTTGATCAGCAAGTAAAAGAATCCTTACCTGTCACTTTGTTTGTTACAGAAGTCATTTCTTATTTTATCCACTATAGAGGTTCGGGGAAGGATATTTGTTTTGTTCTTTTTCTTGGCATCACTCTCTACTACTACAATCAGCCAGTCCACGGAGCCGTGAGCTTTGAGAACGTTCTGCCACTTGGTGATGTCATCCTTGACTGCAGCTTTGTAGGCTTCCGTGTCCTGGCACAACAAGCGGTGAATCAGCAAACAAACGGATCTTCTCAACAATTTCAAAAGGAAAATTTTGTTCCAACAGAAGAAAAATGTACAGGAGAATTTGTGAAAAGGAGGAATCCAATGTATGAGAGTACGGCAAGCTTATAGCCTTTCAGTGTCTTAGTCTTTTTTCGTGTCTTATTTTTGCTTAATAGCATATATATTCTAGAATTTGGTATAATTCTCTAGATTACTGAAATTAAGATTTTTAAACTCTTCATTTTTTTACTTTGTATGTTCTTAAGTCTTTACAACATAGTCCACTTTGAAGCTAAAAAGCCTAACCATTCTGTCCTCACACTGTAACACAACCATGACATTTGAACTTTCTATCCCTGCTGAAATCTTAAACTTTTTTGAAGTTATTATAATAAAAAAAAATAATGACAAAAGTCCATCTCTTTCTTGGCATTATTCTAGCTTTCATTTTTTTTTCCAAACAGTTTAATTCAAAAACTAAACTCTCCAGGCTGTTCTCAATAGCTCTGATAGGCAGTATCTCTGAGTGACCATTGTTCTTAACTGTGTAACTGACTCATAACAGAAGACAACCACCAAGAAGTAAACCACAGATAAACAGGATTAAGATATTCAAACAGGATTAGCACATTCCAAATTCTGTCCAGTTTAGATTGCTGGCCTGTATTAATACCACATACAAACAGAGAACAAATTAGCATACATAACCTAAACGTGTGTGTGTACATATAACCTTCTCAGGAGACGCAACTGAGATCATCTGCTCACGTTGTCATACCATGGAGCATGTGTGCTGTGCTACTGCAGGGACACTGTGAGATCTCGGGATTTTATTTGTGCCAAAGCCCTGAAGATTGGTTATTCAAAAATATGGCCTTCCAGCGTCAAGCACCACTGCGAGCAAATACCGCTCATGGTAACAAGCACTCAAGCTGACAAAGTTTCCAACATACTAAGTATGCGACGCTTATGCAACCCGGACCTGGCTGTGCAAATAAGCATAAAAAGCAAATGGGAAATAGCGCAGAGGACAAGCAGAAAGGCAAAACAATTTCACTTTCAAAGCCAAGTACTCCATTTTTCAGGATGCTTTTCTGATACTTACACAACATTCTGTCCAATAAATATGAAGAAAGGGAAAGGTCAAAAGAGCCTTATTTCCCTCTTTGGGTAGTAGCTCCTCTTTAAACTGAACGAAGTTAGATTCTAGATGAATCATCTTCGGAACGCGGCCATAAGACCTGAAGAATTTAAAAGCAAAGTTGGTGAGATATTTATGTACAATGAAAATGAATTTTGATGAAGAATAAAGTGAAGTTCTTTGGCCCTGGAAACTCTGTAAGTATGTTTACTGCCTTCTGATCTATATAAACTTAGCTAAAATTAGACACAACTTGAAACACTCGTCTCTGTTTTAGTAAAACAGGACCTAAAAGCTTACAGCTTTCATTAAAGGAATATTCTTCACGTCTAGGTCCTTCAGAAGTAGAAAAATTCCAAGATTAAAACAATTCCCCAAACAGTTTTTCCATCAGAAAATGCCACACTGTGCAGGAAATTATATTTAAATTCTGTCTACATTCCCATTAAAAAAAAAAAAAAAAACAAACAACAACAAAAAACCCCCGACAGTTACTTCTGGACCACAACTGCCTGAAGCCCAACAGACCACACACTGAAACAAGCAAACAAACCCACAACTTTTCTTTAAGATGAGCACAGCTGAAATGTGGAAATCCTCAAGCTCACCACATCTGATTACCATGACTAACTTCGTTACTCCGCTGAGTTGTCATTTTCAACTCTACTTATGGCAAGAACTTCTTAGAAAATTATGTATTTGCGGTGCTCTAAGTCTAGTAATTTGTACAAAGTATTATGGAAGGAAATTAAAATTTACCTCCTCCATTCCATGGGTTCTCTTGGAAGCTGCTGAGAAAGCGTAGGATATAGGGAAGTAAATAAATTCTGATCTCCAGCACCTAAGAGTTAAACAAATTCATCTATGTATTATATACAAATTACATGAAAAATTAATAAATTATACCATAATTTCTTTCAGTAAACACAGTGTTACATTGCATACTGCATGAAAACCGAAGTCTACCACTGGGCTTTAGGTCACAGACTCACACAACTCATACACTTTAATACGGTCCATAACAAACATTCCACTTCATAATTTCTATTACGATTCTCCACATTACCATATAATCAATATGCCGATGAGAAAACTGCACTCTTTGCAAGATGGAATATCACTCTTATAGCCCGCTCAATGCTAAAACAAAACAAAAAAATTCTTCACCCAGAGACTATAGCTAAACACAGTATATTTAAAAGACCACAAGGTTTCAGCCTTCAAAACACAGAAGGCTGGTTACAGAGCAATTCACATCTTCTTATAGTTGTGCGTACCATGAGAAAAATCAGCAGAATTTTGTGCATTATTAGATTCAGCTACTCCTCTCACTTTCTTTGCTGCCTGAAGTTGCTGTAAATACAAAGTGGTTCCCAGTTTACCACAGGCCTGTGCTTGCTGCCTCCCGAAAGATCAGGCCCATTAACACTGTGCAGGTCCCATGAGCCAGCCCTGCGCAGAGGCAGCAACAGCTCTGGCTGGTCTTGAGCCACGTAAGCTTCAGGCCACGCTCAAGCCCTGAGCCTACGCAGTGAGGAACTGCATCAGATCCGAATGCCATGTGAGTAACCAGCCTACCAAAAAAGACAGAATGTGCATTATCTGCAACCTACCAACACCAATCCTTAAATTCATAGAATCATAGAATGCTTAAGGTTGGAAGGGACCTCAGAGGTCATCTAGTCCAACCCCCCTGGCTCACGCAGGGTCACCCAGAGCACGGGGCACAGGGCTGCGTCCAAGCGGGTTTTAAAGATCTCCAAAGAAGGAGACTCCACAGCCTCTCTGGGCAGCCTGTGCCAGGGCTCTGGCACCCTCACTGTCAAAAAGTGTTTTCTCAAGTTCCTGTGGAACTTTTGGTGCCTCAGCTTGTGGCCGTTTCCTCTAGTCCTGTCACTGGCCACCACTGCAAAGAGGCCGCCCCCTCCTCCTCACTGCCTCCCTTGAGGTATTTATAGACACTGATCAGGTCCCCCCTCAGCCTTCTCTTCTCCAGGCTGAACAGGCCCAGCTCTCTCAGCCTTTGCTCATAGGGCAGATGTTCCAGGCCCCTGATCATCCTCGTAGCCCTGCGCTGGACTCTCTCCAGCAGCTCCACATCCCTCTTGTMCTGGGGAGCCCAGAACTGGACACAGTCTCCAGATGTGGCCTCACCAGGCCACATTCTGCTCCTTCTTCAGGGGATGGAAAGAATGTGAGAGGGAGATAGGGTTAAAATAAGTCTTCCAAATTCTGACAGCATTTGTATCTTTGAGCAGAGAGATGGTAGACACAGGAACAAGGTGCTAACTAGAAGCAAGTCTACTGTTTGCAACACACAAGCCAAGAGATAAAGCCCAAACGGTCCTTCACGTTCCTTAATAGGGAAAGAGGTGGCATTTGACTACTGGCAAACAGACACATCAAATAGGATGCGAGATAGGAATAAGGTCAGAAACACGTTATCCACTGCACCCGAGCATAGCTTTAAAATCTGCTATGTCACATGCCCTTTCTAAAGGTGGGGTAATGATCTGGCCAATCCTAGTTTCGTGGTATCGTTTATTAAATCTCTCACCTGAACGCTACCCTGAAGCTATGACAGATATCGCTTTCTTCCACATACCTCCTCCTCACTGCCTCTTCATCTTGGGGCAGCTCTATTCCCCTCTACTTCAGACCACAAATTAGTAAGAAAACCTTTATTTTCTCCTACAGAGGCTGCTGCTCTGTCTTCACTCCCTCTTCTCCCTCCAAGGGTTTCCTGAGCTGTAGAGTTACATTTTCCACTGCAGATTTAAACAGGCATAAAAACAACCCTGCCACTTCCTGAATTTTTTCCCTCTCTTGTCTTTTGTAGCCATCCTCTATTGCATAACTCAGCCTGACCAGGGAGACTCTCTTATCTTTCTCTGCGAAACAGGGCACAAGGGCTGGAGAAGCACCTGACATCCCCCCTCCTCCCTCCCATCACACAATTGCCTATCCTGGCACAGAGGCAGGAACTACTTGTGCATTAGTTAAGGAATTTGTACTTGTTCTGCAAACCCCCTTTCTAGGCCACTCACCTTTTCCCAGTCTTCTTACACACACTACTCTGATGACCAGTCATTAACACAATTTGGCTGCATAATATATGTATATTTTAAAGTCTTTGATTAAAAGCTGAAATAAGCAGACAGATTGTTTATCCTCCAAACACACAAACTATTTTCAGTGATAGTTTCCTAAACTAGAATAGAACTCTACTATTAGTGCTTTAGTCTGAAGTCTCCAGAAAGGTACACAACAAACATTTTATTCTTGACTCTTCACCTGCATTCTAATCCAAATTAAGCATACTACACCAAACCTTAAATTTAAGGCTATGCATAAGTATCTAAAATATGTTAACCATAATGTCATCTCACAGCAGATGACGACAGCTCAGTGAACTGGACCACGGTCTATTGATTTGCAGCTCACTACTGCCCACAGAGTGGAGCACAGTTCAGTGGTTTATCAACAGCAGGCTGATCACATTACATGATAATCTAGGAAACTTGGGACCTGAACTAGAGAAACAGTTGTGTATTTTATCTCTGGAGCATAAGGAAGTCTTCCTACATTGCCCCTAAAAATCCCACAGGTGCCACAAAAATAAAGGCTTCAGAATTTCACATCTTGAGTGAAAAGGGCTGACTCAGAACATGGAGGAACCTCCAAACAATGATACACAAGTATCTTGCTATTACATACAACCTCATCACATTAGGAGCTTAAAAAAAAACAAAAGTTTTAAAACGAGCTCGTTCTTTTTTTTTTTTTTTTTTTTGCCCTCCTGCATTGGCCAGGATAGCAGATAAAACATACAAAAAAAATCAAGGCAAGAATCAAGAACTAGAACACAAGGGAGAACAGACCTACAAGGCAAAATACATCCAGTATCTTTAAACACCGGGTGAATGCTTCTATAAATTATGAGCACCCAACAGATTATAACATTTCAACCTCTGATCAAATGGATCCTGTATCTGCTATAATAAGCAAATTTGAGCCAATCTATCTGAAAAAAAAGCATTAAAAATGAAGTCACCACTAGAATAAACTAGCAAAGTATAGAACTCGGCAGTCGCAGAACAAAGATCAACAAGACCAGTTATTAACGTGAAAATGTAGCTTTCCTTGCATGTGACCAAATTTGGAGGAAATATTCTCCAAACACAACTAATTCTGGATTTTGAACTGCAGCAAATCCAAAAGCCTGCAGAAAACTAAGGATTGCTTCAAAGGGCTTTGCTTTTTTTTTGCCTAGGCACCTGACAACGCATGGTCTCTAGATTGCAGATTGCCTTCTCAGCTTTTGTAGCCTGCATATCCCACTCCATCCACTCTCCAGCCGGATATCAATGCACACCCAAAACATGAAGCACAAAACTACCCCAGGCTTGGAGCTGTATCACCTGTGGAATTACTGCAAGTGAAGGGAAGTGTTAATCCCTGCCATAACCAAGTAAATAACAGAAAGCACTAATATTCAAATGAATATTCAACAGAATATTCCACAGAAACCCTTCTGGAGAAAGGGCAGAAAGCAGGGAGTGTGCAGGGTTCCTTTCTTTACCAAGATAAATCAAGACAAACAGGCCTGTGTCCAGAAAGCAAACACAAATGAAGCACGCTGCAGCCTTAGAGTTTCAGCGAGCCTGATGTGAGAACTGCAAGGACAGCCTCACCAGGATCCTCAAAAGAACAAGCATTCACTTTGTGATTGCTGTCTGATAAAAAGCACAATAAAATATTGACATTTTTTAGTTTGATACATGCCTAAAAAGCACCAAAATCCTCAAGAAGCCACTATTTTTCTAACCCTCTGTAAATTTTAGATGTGCACAGGCTTTGCCACTAGAGTATCTCAATATCCAACAACTTAATATCTTTCTCTGGAAGAATTTGTGCGAATCCAGTAACTATACAGGCACTGTAAAAGCAGGCTCCTGATGTCAGATGACTAAGACAGACAAATATTTACCTCGATAACAACAACAAACCTTGTGGCTTGCAGTAAAAGGCTTCAAAATCACCTCTAAACAAGTTCAGTCCAAGACTACGGTGTAGGCTTACTTTGATTTTATTCCCAAATATCACTCAAGGTTACCTTTTCCGAAGACACTTTCCATTAGCAAAAAGTTCTGCTATTAATGCTTTATAAAGTTTACTTGCCTACTATTAGCAGCTTCAGCCAAGGTTTTGGGAGGGATTGTTTTTAAGTTTCTCCCCTCTCCCTGGATCATTTTCAAAAAAGGTCCAAAAATCGAAACAGAAGACAACTGGTTTGCTATATAAAATCTTACTTGATTCAGCAGGAGCCCGTAGAAGAAAAATCGTCAGCAAGCTTTAAAACTTTATTTATTGTTATGCCACTAACTGTAGAAATCAAGGGTTAACACTAACAAGAACATATTTTTTTCTTCTTATGATATATGTACTAAGGTATATACCTACAAAGCAATACTGAATCAACCAGACAGTGCAAGTGCAGATGTAAGTCCTGTTTAAGAACAGGGAGAATATATATACACATATATAAGATACCGGGGTTGGAGAAGGGTGTTTTATTTATTTATTTAAAGTTCTACTATCTGCAAACCATTCAAATCACTTGGACTACGTGTTACTTCTTTTCTGATACCTCTTTTATTATCTCTCTCTGCTAATAACCGAAGGACTTTGAATCAAGCTTTGCCAGTACTAGACAAGATGCTTAAAGGAAAACATTTTCCCTGGAAAAAAAACAAAACAAAAAACCATAACTCTACCCAGCTCCATTTTGACCAGGGCAACCTCTTTTGCTTATGCTTATCTTACAGATACCAACAAAGAGTTTCCATTGATTTTTCTGATGACTTTGCTATGGATGTATTACAACATCTTCTCAATAAGAACTGGATGAAAGTGGTTCTCTCTTTCTTTCCACAAAGAGACCATACTAAGGAACACACAAATTTCTACTCGGACAGACAGCTGACAGTGAGAACAAACATATAAGCACACACAATATGTAAGTACATACTACAGCTGACATGGAAATTTTAAGAACTACATGAAAATAATCACAAAAATAATTTGATAGGAAAGCTCTGAAGAATCTATTAATTTGTTTTGCAGGATTATCTGAGTCAATCTGCTCTTTGCATAGATAAAGATACAGCTACTAACTTAAATGCAAGCGAACCAGCTAAGGACACGCTATTTCATCCAAACCTTTTGCTAATAGTATTTTCAAGAAAAGCAAACACACAAAACAGTCTTTCATACAATTTCAGAAAGCTTTTGAAACATTATTGAAACATTAAGCTTCAAATATGATTCATATGAAAAAGCAACACCTTTTAGACATTCAAGGAGAGTTATCTGCATTTTTTAAAAAGATATTTCAGCTCAATATTTCAGAGAAACTACCCAAGTTCCTGACTTCTGATGCTCTGGTGCAATTGCTCAACTTGCCTCTTCAAATCTCAAACCGAATGAAATCGCTTGGTAAACATACAAGTTTCAGCAGCCATGAAGACAAACTGTTACCAACTCCAAATGAGAGTTTGGAAGGTAACTTGCCAGAGTAAACACAACGGCAGCCGAGTGGCAAGGCTTCCCACTGGATTAATAGTGGAGCGAAGACAGACAGTATGAAAATTCAAACTAATCTGGAAAGGAGTCATCATGGCACTCAGACCTAACTAAGCAGAATGATTTAATACTACATGGTTACTGTCACTCTGAGAAGAGGGAAAAGTGACAAACAAATTGCATCTTTCTGTGAAAACATTACTTTTTCACAATCACAAATACAGTATGCCCAAAGAAGATTTCTGTGTTTTTATAGTTGGGCAGTTTACCTAACTGTAAGCCATTAATGCAGACTCCTTAATAAAGCTGCCTTTTTTTGCCAATAAAGCAGACACCATAAGTATAAGGCTAACACACCTCGATACAAAGCCCTTAGCCAAAATTATTTCTTGACAGTAACTACATGAGAAGAGCACAGAAACAAAGACTGCACGAGTGGAATCAAATACATAAGTCATAGAGAGGCTACCATTTTTATTTCTATAGTCACAAGCCAGGACATATAGGGGATACTTAAAGATTGCACTGATACAGTTACTACACCAGGGTTGTCTTTTACAAACACATACAGGCAATCTGTCATTCTTAAACATCAGAGAAAATATTTTTGCTGAATTTCAGTACAGAAAGTGTGAGTCTAGAGAGTATCAGTCCAGGTCTTTAGAGTCTATAGAAGCATACTACATGTGGAAAGATGAGAAGAATAAAGATTGCCTTTTCAAAGAAAAAAAAAATGTAAATACAACTTCTCATTTGTAAAGTTTGTTTTCAGCTTTCTCACTTTCCTCACGTCCTAGAGTTCCTGAGCAATCATCCCACCTTGCAAGGATTTTTAGACTTAAGCCAGTAAGTCAGTACTTTAATATTTGCTCCTAAACATACTTTTATAAAATGTAAAACTTAAAAAAAAAAAGAAAAAAAAAAGAAAAAAAAAAAAGCCCCGAGGTAAACTGCAAGTACATTACTAATCCAACAAGGTTGAAAACATATCTGTTCTTCATCTTGCATTCCAAATGCTAAGAATAAGTATCTAAATAATCCTACCTACACTCCCCTTGAAATTACAACTTCAGGAAACAGATTTTAATTCCTTCTTAAGTTGTTTTGCAGGCTTACTCCCACAGTCACTGTCTTTTCTTTTGGACTTGATGATCTCTAGAGGTCCCTTCCAACCTTGAATATTCTGTGATTCCCTAGCAAAGAGATGCAGTTCTGTTAAGGAGAAAATTTTGCAATTGTAAAATAGCAAGTGTCCAGATACACCAGCCTGATGTAAAAATCCACCCTGAAATGGAAGTGAATCATAGAAACACCATCCCAATTCTGAACAAAAGCAACAAAATGCATTAGCCCCTTTAAAGTCTCACCCTCCTCCTAAAGACTAGATTAGGAACCCAACTTTAGAGTTTTCAATATATCAGTAGACCAAGAAAGCTCAAACTGACCTACCTATCCAGAAAAAGATAACTATTCTAATGCAAATATATCTCCCATGCTAAGCATAAAGTATATCTGTGAGAGTCTAAAAAGGAAGCTCACTTGAAAATATACTCAAGTATGTATAGAACAGCACAAGCTCATTATCATCAACATTAAGAAACAAATAAAGCTGAATTCAGAATCTGATCAACATCACAAATTGTTTTTACACTACAAACTCACTCATAGCTCTGAAAGATTTGTAAACAGCATAAACAGAAGCAGTGTTTTCAGCGTGCTCTTAAACTTATTTCAAGTTCACAGGCTACCTGCTACAAAAGCATTTGTTTGCAGACAACCACTCAGATATGCACGTTGAAAACACATTTCATTCAATAACAACAAAAAAATCTCTCAACAGTTTTTAATTACTAAGAATAACTAAAATTTGCCAGAAGTAACTCCAAAACTAGTTGTAAAAGGAAATACTTATAGTTTGAGATATAATCTCATTTTACCTTCACTTTTCTCCCAAATCAAAGACCAATTGCACCCTAGAACACTAGCATAGCATCTACAAGGGAAGCAACCACATTCTTCACATATTTCCAGTATGTACATTTTTAAAGTTCAACGTGAAGGGAAATGGATTTCAAGACAGTCTTGAAGACAGTCTTGACAGCTTATCAGAAGCTGCACATCTGGATCACACAGCCCGGAATACAGGGGTTTGCTGAATCAGTTTGTCCAGAAAGTATCAACTCCACTTGGAAGGGTAGATGACAAACACAACAAAAACATGTTTTGTTTTCTTTCTGCTTCCTCTAACTGCATTCTGAATGGAATTACCTCTGAAAATCTGAAGGGTGAAAACACTTTGTGGGATTGGGGCCACATATGAATGAACTTCCAGGCATAGTACTTAGGATGGCTGAGCTGTTTCTACATTTGCTTTAAGGAACCTTTGTGCATAACCCTCTACCCTGCAAGAGGGTAAGGACTTGCACTTCACATCAGGACCCTGGTCCACGTGCTCCAGCAGCCTGTCTCTGACACCTGTAAGAACGCATTCATCACCAGAACCACACTGTTCTGTTTGTTGACTGTCTCAGAGAAGAGGGAAAAAAAAAAAAAAAAAGAAAAAGCTAAATCCTAGTAATTAAAGATTAAGTTTTAATGCCACTAGGGAAGCTGTCACAGGGAATCCCTCCTCAGCACAGAGGCTGATGCTACCCCTCTTAACCAGGGCAAACCTGCACAGAAACCCCTGGCAAAAAGTGCACAGCGTTACACTTTACTGTGGTGTGCAAATCTCTAAACATCTCTAAGCAACTCCTGTTACCACAAGCCTGAAACACAGGGAAACAGGCCCAAATTTTGCCTCCGAGCATAAAGACTAGTGAAGAATGGGGTGGGAGGGGGCCCGAAACGGCAGCAGGGCACCCCCAAAGTGCCATTTGCTGCAGCGAAGCGGCAGCCACAGCCCAGCGCTGCCCGCTCCGCGCCCGCCTCGCCTCCCCCTCGGCGCAGCCGCTCCCCGCGGAGCCCCGGGAAACCCCCCCGCCCAAACGCCCGCGACCGTTGCTGCCGGCCGCGAGCCGTTAACGGCCGCCGCGCGGCCACCGCTGCCCCGGCGCGAGCCGTTAACGGCCGCCGCGGCGGGAGGTGCCGGCACTCACAGGTGACGATGGGCTTGTTCTCCATGGTGTAGATGACGGGCGGCTTCTCCCCGCCCTGCTGCCCGGCGGCCGCCGCCGCCGCGCCGTCCATGGGCGGGCGGGGTCCTCAGCCCCGGCTCCCCCGCCCGCTGGGCGCCATGGGAACCGCGGCGCTGCCCCCTGCCCACCCCCCCGCCTCCCCTCCCACC